CTGTAATGGAAAAGTGGGATAATTATACGTGGGACAATTATATGGGCACATGTTAATGTTTTTAATATTTTTAATGCCATATTGTATTTTATATATGCCAGTAAGTTATAGTTTATTGCACACCCTTCATGATTTTTATAATGTTCTTGTCTTATAAATTTAAGACCATGTCAGGCCTCCCCAGCCAACTCAGTTTATTTAATCTTTAAACTGAAATCCAACATTTGTTTTGTATTACACAATTTTTTTCTACCTTCAAACTTGGATTTGCAACATATTTTAAAACCTAGTTTACTTCTAACTATGACCTTGGACTTGGCAGATTTAGTATTCCTGTGCAAGACATACTTTAATTAGATAGAACATAGAAGTATATACTTGTATATATCAAGTAAGTACCTAGTACTTTAAGCTAAAAAGTGTGTATTATTATTGTTATATTGTCATTCTCATTTGTTGTTTGTTTTATGATATAGGGCTGATGTGGAATCTATTAGCATATATGTTGGAATTTAGAAAAAATTGTATTCCTTAGGTTTTCAGAGGCCTTCTTAAAGTGCCCATGTCTGTAATATTCATTAGTGATGTAATAATTATTTATAAGATTAGAATATATAGAAATGCAGGGTCCACTTCGTGCACAGCGAAATGGCCAGGTATGATAAATATGTAGTACACTACATCTGAATTTTTGTGAATTACAGAACAGTTTTTCCAAACAAAGAGTAGAGTTTGAACTGCTGAAACCCGAAGATAAAGTTTGGAACATTCTCAAGTTTATTCATAACGAAAAAATTCCTTAGTGCTTAAACAATGTTTTCTATTATTTTTTACCTAAGCATTCCCATCTGTGGCCTTTTGATAACAACATGAATTTAATCTCCCTGCAAAGAAATTTACATTTTTTCTTAAAATGCCTAAGCTGAATATTTAGTGCATAAATAATGGTATAATACTACCTGTTAATCAAGGAACACCATTTTCGGGTATAATGCAATGGATTTTCTCTTATTTTGGATTTGAACATCCCCATCATTGGCCTCTTTATTATACCATGAATTTTTCACCCTGCAACAAATAAATAAAAACATTTGTTAATAAATATGAAGAACAATTTAAATTCGGGAAAACTGTCAAATAGGTCCTCGAACTTTCATAAAAAAGTCAATTAAGCCCTTCTATAGGAGACTCTGTCCGGTCATCGCGATTTGGGGCGGTTTCCGGTGGTATTTTTTGATGAAATTTTTTGAGCATCTTATTCGTCAAGTCTAGTTTACTCATACCAAATTTCAGCTAAAAGTTTAATCAGGAGCGCATTCAAATTAATTCGAGAACGCAAAAATGCGCAGTTATCTTCAAGAATTAATTTGAATGTGTTCCCGATTGAAGTTTTAGATGAAATTTGGTATGAGTAAACTAGACTTGGTGAATAAGATGCTCAAAAAATTTCATAAAAAAATTTCACCGGGAACTACCCCAAATTGCGACGGTCGGACAGAACCTCCTATAGAAGGACTTGATTGACCTTTTTATGAAAGTTCGAGGACCTATTTGACAATTTTCCCTTTAAATTCTGGTTATAATAACATTTTGATACAACCTTCACCTTTATAGCCCATGATTTTTTGGTGTGATCAAGTTTAGTGAGTAATGAGCACATTCATGAGTTTTCTGTATTTGGAATATGTTGTGTGGTGTTTTGTGATTGTATGGGATGTGTTTCTCAACCAAGAGGCGGTCTATTTATACTACAATTGGGCATGTGTGTAGTGCATTGATGGAGTTGATAAATTCGGACCAGTAGATAACAGTAACAAAAACCAATACACATATAGTTAATTTACTAAGCGTGCTTCATAAGTTGCAATGCATTTAATGCATATGTACTTCCAAGATGGTGGATACTAAGTTTTGATCTCAAAATATACAACACAACCATTCATTTAATGCTATTCAAAAGTTTTGAAAGGACTGATATCTTGAAACATAACTCAGCCATATTAAGTACAACACAATAATCCTTTTATTGTATTATACATCAACTTAGCCGTATTTAGTACAGCATGGATATCAGCTTTAGTCACAGGCATTTAATGATGCATTGCATGTAAGATGCTAAGCCCATTTTTTGACCCATTTACGTTTGACCCGGTCTTGACCCAGTGGAATTGTGCGGGAAATCTGCCTATCTTTCCACTGTGGTTTGTATACAGAAAGATATTTCATATTAGACAAGTTACATTTCAACTTGCTTGCAGTTACATTCTTATCAACGTGGATTACATTTCTTTACACACGAGTTACATCGTTCTGCTATCGGGACAAAGAAAAAACCAAAAAAAAATTACAGCTCAAACGTGTTTTGGCTGTGGAAGCAACATGCTCACCGTGGACCGCTCACGCGGTATAACAATTGAAGCAAAGGTGTTATGCTGCATATACTCCCTACTCAATAATAGAGATAAGCAAGTTGTTCGTTATTCTCCCATTTATTTTATTTGCTACAGAATTTATAATAGAACTAATGATTAAATCAATACTAACGATTCGAGGCAATTACGGAGCAGTTAAGAAGGGAATCCAGGTATTAAGAAGCAAACAATATTCCCATGTCTACCGCAGATTAAAAGTCAAATTAAAAGACTTTGGTAGATTCTACACCACCAAATTCTAAAGTGGAGTACTTCTCAAGTCATTCCACACCTGGCCAGAATGTTATTATTATACAAATTAACACTGCTATTTATTTTAATCTAGCGTTCATAACAGATTAATTCATGAGGATAGATTCTGAAATTAAATCAATACTTTGTATGATATTAGAACCAATTAAACTTTAATGTAACAAACAATAAAATCTTAGCTAGCTATTTAAAGATTTCAACGTAACAAAGAGAACACATAATTCAAAATTATTGGGCTTGAATTAATCACCAATTCTTGTGGTTAACTAAAGCAATATAATCCTACATTGATCAAGTATAAAGCTACAAAGTAACATCATTCCCACCTTTAGTGAGGTTCATCCAACTGATCCAAGTCACATATATATGCGGGAGTGCCTATACCGTACGACCGGTATACTGTGAGCACCGTATACCGGTACGGTTTTATATATTTTTTTTCCTTTTGTTTTTAAAAAATGGTAATAACTTTTTTATTTTTGATCCGATTTTTATAAAATTTATATCAACATTTTTTATTTTTCATGATCTTTCAAATGAGACCAATATTGCCTATGTAATTTTAACATATTAACATTTGCGTGTAAAATATGTAACTTTACGTGTTAAAATATGTAACTTACGTTCAGTCAGGCCAAATGCAACTCGTGTGTATAAATATGTATCTCTACGTGTAACAATATGTAACGTTACGTAAAAAAATATGTAACTCGCGTTCAGACAGGTCAAATGCAACTCGTGTGTATAAATATGTAACTCGCGTGTATGAATATGTAACTTTACGTGTAAAAATATGTAACTTTACGTGTAAATATATGTAAGTCGCGTTCAGGCATGTCAAATGCAACTCGTGTTTATATATATGTAACTCGCTTTTAAAAAGATGTAACTTGCTTATAAAAAGATGTAACTTGCTTGTAAAAAGATGTAACTTGCTTATAAAAAGATGTAACTCGCTCATAAAAAGGTGTAACTCAATGTATTATCAAATGTAACTGAGGCCACTGATCCACTCCCAAACAGTTTCGATGTTCTATTTCACAAACCTATCATCTCCCAAACAGATTCGATTTTTCTTATAATCCAATACTCATTAATATAATAGGTCGATAATTTCTTAAAATTACATACACAATATTGGTCTCATTTGAAAGATCATGAAAAATAAAAAATGTTGATATAAATTTTATAAAAATCGGATCAAAAATAAAAAAAAGTTATTATCATTTTTAACAACAAAAGCAAAAACAAAAAGCAGATGCTGCGTCGTTTTTGCAATCGGGCGCACCATCCTCATGGTGCGCCGGTTGCACCATATAATTTGCCTATATGCGGAAAATAGAAAATATAATTATTTTAATAAAAATAAAGATATACTACGTATGTAGTACGTACGAGTATGAGGTGTTTGGATTTGATTCTTAAAACTGCTTCTGCTCTTTCAGGGAGCAGAAACAGGAGCTGGACTGTTTGGGTAAAAGTGCAGAAGTGATTCTGGTGCTCTAATTTACTCCTAGAATCAGTTTTTTTAGAAATTGGGAGTGATCAGTTTCTGAAAACTAGTTTTTGCTTTACAAAGAAGCAGAATCAGAATCACTTCCAAACACCGTATATAGAAATAAGTAATGTAGGAAATGCACGATAGAGGTGTAATATTTGAGAGTGGAAATATAGACGTAAAATTGTCATATATAGATACTTGATTGATTGATGATATATAATTAATTTGGGTATACGCAGGGACGAAGCAAGAACTTTTGTGCGTTAGGTTAAGTACTTAAGTCGGTATAAGAAATACTTTATATATATATAAATTAAAAAAGTATACATATATAATTAAATTAAAAGCAATTTAGCGGGGCCCTTGAGTATAACATACTCACTCCGTCCCGGATAGAACTTGACGTTTGCTTTTGACACGGTATTTTAGGAGCTCAATTAATAGAAGAACAAATGTCTTGCATGTCCTTTGACTTATGGGGGCCGCAGAACTAATGCTATCAACTCCAACGTAAAAAGTGTATGAGTAGTGAAGTGTAGTTAAGACATTTAATGAAAAGTAGTTGCTTAAAAAGAAAACGTAAAAGAGTAAATGGAACGTCCCATAAAGGAAAATGTAAATATTTAAATGGGATGGAGGGAGTATATTCCTAAGGCTAGCTACGAAGTAACCATGAAACATTAAATTATACGAGTATACATTATTCTAACATAGTAACAAACATTGCCCTATTACGCTTGACCAAAGCTAGCATAGAAAAGAAAGAGTGTATATATACGAAAGGTGCATCACTTTTAATTTCTTCCACTTTTATTTCCTTAGTAGAGCAGCTCAAGTATTATAAACGAAGCTCGATCATGCGCACTAAACGAAGCTCGATAGTTTGCATTTATATTGCAGTAGTTGTCATCGTTTCCAGTCTTGATGTTTTAGCAAGATACCGTGCGATAGCGGCAGAGAAGTTACAAGATAAAGTAAATACTATCTCTATCAATCTGTGTACGGATTATGGTGGACTGAGACCCGGGGCAACTTAGAAAAAAAAATCAATTTTTTTAGTTTACGTTTTTTCATTTTTCCCATTTAGTATAATTCTTATTCAGCCCGGGACATCTCAGATTCCTAGATCCGCCCTTGATCTCGATATGCTTGTTTCCATCACTATTTTCTTTTGATATGCTTGTTTCCATCCCTATGTATACCTAAGCTGTGTGTGTGGTGTGTAGGTGAAGGATGTGAATCTTTTTGTTGTGGAGTGTTCAAAGAAGAGAAACCACAACGCTTATGTGTATGGTTATGAAGCACTATTCCTGCTTCTGGTGGGTCATGTCATTGCCACTGTTTTTGGATGCTGGTCTTATTTCAAAAACTTGTCCAGAAATTGGTGCTCACATGCTTGCCTCATTTTCATGTGGTATGCATGCTTTTAATTTCTTCTTCTTTGATGCGATCATATCTTGCTCTATTTTGTTCCGCTGAAAGCGTTTAATATCTCGTTGTAAAGATCTTACCGAGTTCTAAAACATGTCTTCGGGCGCTGGTTTCAAAATATAAGAGATGATTGCCTAATTACTAAAATACACTGTATTTACGCTAAAACTGCTCTATTTACGCTGAAAACGCTAAATCATAGAGATAAGAGTATGTATTTGTGACACACATGAAAAAGTTTGTTCAAAGCATGCATTTAAAAATTCTAGGCAGGCACTAGTATAGCCTTCTTCGTCATGAGTATAAGATCACTAGTAGCAAAAAAGAAATATCAAGCAAAAAAGGTTAAGATCCGGGGTTCCATCCTGTCTTAAAATCGCAGTGATGGAGTCTAAACAAGATCACACGCCACCGTCTCTCTCATATGGCGGAGAAGTTTTCCATTTTTACTGATTTTAGCCCTTCTAATTTTATGATGCATGTGCTGACATCATAGTCCCCAATCGTTATCTTGGAACCCTTTTTTTCTTTTTGTGGAAGCGTTATTATTATTGGGATGTTTGGGTTTTAGCATTCTCATCAAACACTGAATCTTGACCTTTAAGAACATAATTTTTCGAAAACTTTCATGAAATTTGACAATTTATGAAGTTAAATAGGTCTAACTAATCTCAATGACATTTCTTCCGCAAGTAGCAAAGAAGAAATGTCAAGCAACAGATATGGCTTATAATCATGTCTTAGGATCATCTTGTCTTTTAAGAGGATATAATTCCAAAAACTTGCATTACATTGACAGTTATATATGAAGTTAAAGATTAATTAAAGTTTGATCAAGTTCACGCCCATTGATATATTTGAGCAGGGTAGCATTTGGTGCAGGAGTGTTTTTTCTAAAATATGGAGCAGACCCTAACAAAAAGTCCAAACTTTCATGTCATCTCATCTCTCACCGTGGCTGGCTAGGGTATGGAGGATTTCTTTGCTTATGTCACGCAATATGTTTCGCAGTATTCTGTGGTTTTGGCATTCTTGCGAAGGGATGCCTGAGAGAAGATAAATAGACTGTGAAGACCAATCATGGTATTGAAATAGTTCATCAGGACAGAGTTTAACACTTTATTCACCTTAGAATTAAGTTGCTCCTTGTATATATGCCTTATACTTTCTAGTAGCTTGACATGGCGGAAGATAAATTAATGTAGCCATGCATTGTAAGGATCTTATTTATCTGCTATGATATGAAAGAACATTATATACTAGTGATTTTATGTAATATGATTACAAAGCTCTCTTCATATACTCTTTATCTTTTCTTATCAACTTTCAGATGATTTTACAGAATTTCAACAAGCTTCTGATTATAGTAGTTGGACTTGCTTGGTGATGAACAAGGAGCATTAGCTCCTACCTATTATTAACGATCAAACGAGGCTGGGAAATCCCCAAGCAAGTCATACGAAATGTGTAACGATAATCTAGAATCAACATTAGAAATAGAATGAACGCCAATAGGGGTAATCTATGACCTAGGCTACCTAAAAAGTCTGCTGTCCGGTTACCTTCCCGATAAATATGCTCAACTCTGATCGTCCAATTTCGATTTAAAAGCTCGTGAAACTGTGCAACCTCAGAAGAATGCTGGTGAGCACACTCACCTTCTTCCATCAAAAGTTGAATAGCTGCATGCGAGTCCAACTGCACTCGTACCTGGAGGTATCCAAACTCACAAGCAAAATGTAATCCTTGTATAACAGCTCTCATTTCAGCCCTGGTGATCGAGCAAATACCCAGGTTCATCGAGTACGCTGCTAAGCAGCGGCCATCGGAATTACGGAACAACCCTCTTGCAGCTGCTCGTCTAGTCTCAGGAACAATCCCATATTTGATTATACAAATTTTATTCTCAATGATAATTTGAGACATCAATTGACTTATGACTTAAATATTTGTAATCATGAAACTTTCATTCCGAGAAGGATATATGGATGAACCCTTCACACTTGTCATATCAATGATTTAGCAATACTTTCTGTTGGAAATATATATTGTATTAAAATTACATTAAATGGCTATTTTCAGGCATTATTTTGAGTGGGTCCACTTCCGATTTGGGTCGGGTCAAAGTGGTTTCAGAATCTCTTTTCTAAGGGGTTCAATTCGATATGTGGTACACTCAAAATGGATAATGGGTGAATGAGAAATTGATTCTCGAAGTTCACAGTTTGAAGGTAAAACTAAACGTAGAACTACCGTTAGCTAATGGTCGTTCTAATCTCTCCTTCGAACTCCTTAGAAACTGTAAAATGTGATTAAATCATGGTTAATGGCTTGAAACGTTCAAGATCATTAATTACAACACAATAAATGTGTGTTTAATGGGCGGTTTCATACAATAAGTGTGGTGCTAAATGCATAATTAATACAAAGTCTCATCCTCCCCTATGAAAGCTTGGCAGCATATTTTAGATTCAAGGAATTGAGTACACACAAATTGAGTACCACTGAGCACACAAAAATACTCGTTGCATCGTCTTCTCGAAAGAAAAACTCTGTGAAACTTTCGATAAAACTTCTCAGTTCTACCCTTTGTTTCAGTTCGTCGGAGCAACCAATTGAGTGCTCAATACGGTTGTTTGTTAGTCATCGTATCCTGGGGAACTGACACTGCAACGCTCCTAACACTGTGTGAGGCAGTGAATTAGTTTTAAGGACAGTGTGTTGCACATGCTTTGACTGTACCTATGCCAGTTCTTTGTCCAACTATTATTTTTAATTTCTTATTTTTCGTAAAGACAAAAACACTGTTCTCCCCAACAAACTTAAAACTGATTCACTGATCTTTTTAGATTGGTTTTAGAATCCTGAAACCAATTCATGACTATTGTTTCACTGCGGTACTACAATCTTGAAACTAGTTCAGTGTGTTTTTTCGAAACGAGAAAGGAAGAAAAATGGCATCTCTTGATAACCAAAATGTTCTTGTTGGACAAAATGAAACTCTCTCTGAAAGTGGAGTTCCGCTCGAAGTTCACGACGCTAAACATCTGCTTTGGCCAACCAAGGGGCAATCCCTATGGTTACGGTGCAAGGTAACTCTGCGGAGAAACCCGAAAAGTTCAAAGTTCAATGGGTTGAACTTTAAGAGGTGGTAGCAAAAGATGCTCTTCTATCTCACTACTATAGGGCTCGACAAGGTCCTTGACCGAGGATGTGTTGGTTTTAAACGAACAAGAGATGGATGCGCAATCTGTCAATGCGATTGAGGCGTGGAAGCATTCGGGTAAAGAACTAACTTTGAAGTCTGAACCAGGTGCTGTTCATTCCAGAAGTGCGCACGAATTTAATTTCCGGGTCGTTGCTGAACAAACACGATTTCTGCATGGCCTTTGAGTCGGACAAAGTAGTTTTGTCTAAATTGGGAATGTATGTGGACAATAGATATGTTGTTGATGGGCTTTTTAAGCTAAATGTAATGATTATTATTATTATTATTATTATTATTATTATGGGAAAGTTCCCGAAATAGGACTAAAACAGTTTGAAAAATTCAAAATAGGATTGTCATGTTTTTTATTCCCAAAATAAGAGTAATTACTGTCAAGTTTAGAAAATACTGCCATATTTGAAGTCTGGTACTGCCAAAACATGGCAGTAATTAGTCCTATTTTTGGAATAAAAACATGGCAGTCCTATTTTGGAATTTTCAAACCTTTTTAGTTTTATTTCGGGTAATATTCTCTAATAATAATAGTAATAATAATAATAATAATAATAAATAATAATAATAATAATAATAATATAATAAAATCTCTTTTTCTTACTTGGTCGAGTCTTCTAGTTTATGACATGGTAGACTAGATAATGTAATTTTAAATCGATACATAGATTAGTTAACATGGAACACATTCCTAAATTAAAAAGGGGTTTTGACATGAATATTACTAATAAATGAACAATTGATAAAAAATGACCTTTTTTATTTAATTTTCAAAAATGTGACTAATTAGTAGTGAGCTTGCTAATTTACCCCTAGTGACACAGACATAGTGACACGAACACAATGATACAGACACAGTGACATCCACCACAACCTACGACCGGTGACTCCATCGACCGGAAAATGTCGCCGGCCAAAACTGTTGCCAGCCACAGTGACATCGCTGACACAAATAATCTCAATTACAATTACAACATAAATTTCAGATAAATCTGCCCCCTCACATTGCAAGTGACCACCACAGTCTGACCAGTTAGCACCGTCGTCTGGCTAGTGATCACCTCCTCCCCTCCCCCACGATGGCCCCTGCATAACCTTTGTCACTGCAGTGCCATCAGCCCTACCCCTGCCAACCATTGCCCCACCACCATTCAACCATGGCCAACCAAGCTCCAGGCCTGGTCTTCATCGCCGGTTTTAATCACACTGGTAGGGGTGCGGCCGCTGTCGGTGACAGAACCCTAGCACCTGAAATCGATCAAACGCCCAGCCGCGGACACCGACCACCCGCAACTCTAGTCGTCGACACGAATTGAAACCCTAGCCTTCGCAGGAGAAGATCCAGAGGTTGTATCGTGGCCCCGCCCCAAATCGCCGCCTTCACCATTGCAGGACTTCACCTAGATCTGAGAAGCCGCCGTCGAGATCTAGTCTTCATCGCTGCATTGGGAGAGCAAAGATAGAGATCCGAATGAGAAGAAAAAGAGACGAGAGACACAGCCACAAGCAAGGGCGGTGGCGACAGGAGCGGCGATGAGCAACTTCGGTGGCGAACGGCAACAGTAAGGAAGGTAAGGACGAAGGCGAAGAAGGAGATGCTGGCAGACTTCAAGCCATCTTCGAGCAACATACTTCTTGGAGCAGGATCGACGATGAAGAAGACGCAAATGACTGAACGGGAGTGTGAAGCGCAGAGGTTTGATGAAGAGGGGTATTCTGGCCATTTCAATATTATTTGGTCATCTTTTAGTCGAGACGAAATTCTGGACATATTTTTGTCTAATCAAAACTAGAGAGAAATATTTTTGCCATTCTTTCAATTAAAAATTTATGTGACACACAAATGTGGAATTTGTGTTGAGCCAAAACTAACGAAAACGTCTTTCAAATCGATTGAAAGAAAAACAGAACCACTTGAATTAATTCATAGTGACGTTTGTGATTTCAAATCAATACAAACATGTGGTAGTAATATATATTTTATTACATGTATCGATGATAGCACTCGCTATAGCTATGTAAATGCTTACAAATAAACATGAAACAATCGATAAATTCATTCTCTATTAGAATGAAGTGGAAAATCAACTTAATCGACAGATTAAAACGGTTATGATCGAGGTGGTGAATATGAAGCATCAGTTGGTGACTGTTGTGCGAGTGTGGGTATAGTACACGAACATACTGCACATTGAAAGATTTGATGAATGCAATGTTAGTAAGTTCGGGCCTGCCACAAAATATGTGGGGTGAAACAGTCTTATAAAGCAATTACCTTTTAAATAAGGTATGTGACACCTAAAAAATTAATAAAATAAAATTAATAATTTTATTAGTCACATAAAATTTTAACATTTGTAACACCCCCAAATTTCTCACCAAAAAATACATTTAAATAATGAATTATTTGGAAACATCAGAAATACAACGTACGGAAGTCTTAATGGAGAAATGAGTGTTACCGTCACATCCGGTCATCTCTTAACCGAATGCACAGACATCCCAAAACAAAACAAGGTAAAACAAGTATTCAACATAACTGGAGTGTTTATTCTTGACTAAGTTTGACTAAGGCATCTCTAGACCGTTCGCAAGACCATGCAATCATCAGTCAAGATAAACATCATTACCTGCACAAATAAAGTGCAGTAAACAAAGCAAAGAGAAGGGAACAAAAATTAGCTTTAGAGCTAAGTAAGTACTACCCAACCTCGTAAAATAATCAGATTTGTCAAAATAGTTTTTCATACATTACTTTATCTTTAAAAATCCATTTTCTTCCCACAAAACTACTTTCATGTTTAAAATAATATTTATAAACTCTAAATAACTCACACATTCATATAAAGGTATCACTTTTCAAAAATAACTTTATAGCTAATCACTCTTTTCTAATAGACTCAACTTCTCTTTGAAAGTCATCTTAGTAGTTCTTGTCTTTAAGTTTCTCAGAAATCTCTTTTTCTCTAACTTCCTAGTAATTTAGAAGGACGATGCTCAACACTTTTATTGAGCCCGATGGTCCTGCATTGTTTACACAGTTTGGAAGCGTGAGGATGAGTCTATTTTTGCTTATAA